TGTTTTAGATGCGTTTTACACACTTTGCAATTGATTTCTGAGGATGCTGCTTTTAGATGGAAACCGAACCACATACGCAGCAAGATGACTTTCATTAACTTACTACACACCCACAACACACAGAAATGCGTGTGGCCATACACGGCTTGAATTGTGGCCGATTCAGCAATTTGAGCAGTGAGTGGCCCTGCAAGTGTTAAAAGATAACTTCTCCCCCTCTATTATAAGAAGCTGTAGTTAGTGTAGGAGCTTTCTTTCAGCAGTATTAGTCCTTTATATTGGCCGACATCTGCAGTTAGGTAAGAAACTTGCAATATCAAAGAAGCTATGCCTTTCCACTGTGCCAAGTGATGTATGTCAAGGGATTACCAATTCCCATAACAAAGCAGACTAGAGAGGACTGGAAGAGTGCTGCCAGATATAGAAGCATTCAGAAGTTTATATAGATTCTTATAATTCCACATGGTTGTATAGCAAACAGTAGTTGATGTGACAGCATCCATTTTCTGTCCTGTCCAGATTTTGGCAGCCACAGCTATATGCTAATCTATATGCAGCTTCTACGCTAACAGGTTGCAGACAGTGTAGAGGAGACACTGTGAAAGTAATGCTAAAGGTTGGAATGTAACCAGACAGTGTTATAGGGACAAAATTCAAAACAACATTCTCTAGATAAAAGACATGTAGAGCTCTTCATGGATGAACAACATAGGTAAATCAATCCTCGGTTAAGTGTTTCAGTGACAGGGTTGCATAACGTCATGGGCTTTTACAATACAACGTAACTAGGAAGAATTATTTACGCTTAAACAAGGACTGATCATAGGAAATAAAATGCTCTGTGCCCTGTGACTTTTTTTAGGGTGTAAAGTGCTGCTCAGTCATGAGGTTGTTTTCCAGTATACTGCTAGTGCTGTGAAAGGCATGCTTAGGGGATGTCCAATATTAAGCACCATAATCACGGCATGCAAAGTTTTCACTGCACCTTACTATGAACTAAGCCTTTGTTCCTGCAGAGTTCTCAAAACATCACACTTTTCCATTCATTGCAATCGGGGTCTTAAAGAGTAAGTGCACTTGTAACACACCTTAGCAGATATAAACTTCCACCTTCTTTCCTTGCTCTACTGACCCTTCCTCACCAGTCCTGCCATATCAGATTTCTTTCTGATGATGCCATCTGCAGACACAGGGCCCTCTGTGAATGAAATTATATCACAGAAACCCATTAACAACCCAACTAACAACCCATTAGACGAGTATGCGCCCTGTGCTAGCTCATAACTGGCCTGCAGATGCACTGAAGTCTTCTTTTATACAAATTTTGAAGACATTGTAGCCTGTCCCTTCTTCCCTTATGGCCATGGAATAACTGGTCAGCACAGTGGTGCAGTGGATAGCACTTCTACTTTGCAGCACTGGGGGCCCCGGTTCGGTTCGAATAGGACACTCTCTGCATGGAGTTTGCATGTTCTGCCTGTGCTTGTTTGGTTTCCTCTGTTCACTCCAATTTCCTCCCACACTCCAAAGACATGCTAGTAGGTCAACTGTCTCCTCCCTACATTGGCCCTAGTATATGTGTGCATCTGAGATAGGGACAGTAGATTGTAAGCTCCTTGAGGGCAGTGACTGATATGAATAAAAAGTATGTAAAGCACTGTGTAAATGACCAGCGCTATATAATACCTGTAGTAAAATAAATAAATAAAATAACTATCAGTGAATGCCCAGGGCTTGGGGGGTGCACAGCAAGACAAATCACTATAAGTGCAAAAAAAACCTAGTTAGTTTAACATTATTTAGCAAACATCTCTTAATGCACCGGCTACATTTGGAAGCCCCTTAAGTGATTTCAGACCAAGTCCAAAAAACAAAATGCAGTCAAATATAACTTATCCAATAATATACAGTATTTTTCCGTCTATAAGACGCCCCCATGTATAGGACGCACCCCACTTTTCTTACCCAAAATTCAGAAATCAATATTTTCCATGCTCTTTTGCATAACTGATTACATCCAGTTTACATTTTGCAGAGTAAGACAGCCGCTTACTAGTACCGGTATTTTTTTTTTCTGACATTTTTATGGGCTCAGAATGCTCCGACATTACCGCTCCCTGTTGCATCTGGGTACTGGCTACACACACTCCACAGCATCAGCTGACATCGGGTACATAAGGCTCATGATTGGAGGAAACCTGTTAGCTTGTCTCTGCAATCGGAAGTTTCACTCGTGAGACTAGTTTGCAGAGGTATTGGCAGTTTTGCAACCGCAGTTCTCCTCTCGGCCCCCCGTGCAGAAGACGCCCCTTCATTTTTAGGTAAATATTTTTAAGAAAAAGTATAGTCTTATACACGGAAAAATACGGTAACTGCCCAGTCAACAGACGAGAGGGTGAATCATAAGATATGTAATATTTTGGTCCAAATAAAACTGCTTTAAACTAAACCACAGGTGTTTATATATTCCTAATGCTAGTTACAACACAAATGAAACAAGCAAAAATGTTAAAGAAAACACAATTTCTTGATGGGCAGAAAATATACAAAAGGGCTCTTGGAGCCTCTGTGCATTAAGTAATATGTAAGTTAAAATCTACAAAGGTCGGCTTATTTAATACGGCAGTAGTACAAAAGAACAAAGATCTCAGCCCACGAGCAGTAACCAATAGCAACAACACCTTTCATAAGTTAAAGTTTCCCAGTCAGTAGATCTGAAGGATTGCTGGACTGTTGGCATGCGTTTTGTGCTTCATAAATGATTGTCTAAAGAAAAAGTCAATTGAAGTGTTTGGACTATTTTATATACTGCAGCATGTGCATGTGAGCATATTTCTGGAAAAGGAACATGCTTTGAAAGAAAGAAAACTGACACTGGTGTAAGGAGCTAAAGTCAACATAATGATGATACAAAGCACGGCTATTCTATACTAATGACTAATTGATTTTATGTTTTTTTTTTAAACCGGCTAATTTGATTTAATTCTGTATGTGATTAATATATAACTATGCATTCCTGCAATGTTTACCAGCTGCATGTAACTATTGTGCTAATGGCGTGTTCTGTATGGCACTTCTGGATGACTTAAACTAGAGAAGCAGTCTGATATGTTCATGGCACCAATGTCAGAATGAATAAGCCCAGCTGATGATCTGGTAATATACAATGGTAGCTTTAGAGCTGTGAGAACGATCATATGATTGCTTATTGGTTGGCATGGCATACTGTATTTTGCAAATTGCTTTAATGGCAGCATATAGAGGTTCAGCGCTTCATAAATTTGTGAATTTATGTTTACATAGCAAATTCTCCTTTTTAAGAAAAGCAGTAATTTAAAAAAAACAAACAATAACATATATTTTAACATTGAGCACTTTCATTTGCCTTTAGAGATACAAATATGGAAGCTGCCATAGTGATTTCCTGTTTCAAGAAACTAAAAGTAAATGTTATCCTAATACTGTGATATCAGCAGTGCCACCTAGTGGCCAAATTCAATGCAAATTCTACATGGAGAGTTTTACATTGGTTTTAACACGATGAGCCATATCAGTCTATGTGCTGTACCAAACATTTTTTTGCTGTAGCATAGATGTAATTGCCAAAAAAAAAGGCACTAATGTAAATTACACTATAAAATGGGCCCTTATCCATTATAAAAGATCCATAAGGTATCAACTATGAATGTGCCGATTTAAGATTTCTTCCTGCTTTATAAAATATGCTATGCACATGAGGTCACCCTCTAATGAAAAATGGTTAAATAACCTGATACATTTACAATAGGTGTTTGATTGTTCATGAGTACACAATAACAGAATCACTGTTAAAGCTGAACTCTAGGATGATAGAAAAAACACCATTAAATCCAGTTATCAAGTAATTAGAAATCATTAGCTAGCAGGAGGACCTAAATTTGTCTTATCAGTCTCTTGTAATCCATTGCACAGCAGCATTCTGTGAGAAGGAGAGGCGGCATTCTGAACCAACCAGGGCTCTATTGCTCTGCACAGTGCTATCTGTGAACATGCTTCACAGAGAGGAGGGGAGGGCAGAGACAGGACCTCAGCATGCTGTTGCTCCTTCACAAATCACAGGCCACTGCGCAACCAAGGCAGTGTAACTTAATTGCAGGGAAGTCTGAAAAGTGGTCCAAGAACAGACCAGTCTTCAAAGAGTGCCTGGATCACAAGAACAGAGTTAAAAATCCTCTGGCAGCTAAAGGTGAACATAAACCTATTTCAGCTTTGTACTTAGCTGTTCAGCTTTAAGAAGAACTTCAAATACTTTGACACTGTGATTGTCTCTGCTTTTGGTTGCTGACCAATTAGGCCGATTAGTTGCTGACGCTAGCACTTAATCCCACGCCAGCACAAAAAACAGGCCTAGACCTTGTACACCCAGACTTGCTCCTGCCCATGCTGCAAAAGATTGAAGTGATGCAGATTTCTACAAACAGGAAGAAGGGCAGCATATGAAGGCCAACCCCTGGGAGGGAGCCACCTATGTGATAAGCAAAGCCCTGGCCTTATTGGTGGAACACTTGAACCAAGATCTCAAGTATATGCTGTTTGTGCTATTTATACGTTGCAGAATAATCTGCTAGTTATACGAGCAGGGAAATCCTGAAGCCCTATACTACTACTGCAGGCATTGAACCATAACAGCTATTAAGCCCTTTTATTAAGACACAGCCAGCACATATATAGTTGTTTGAGAGGTACAATGTATTAACAGACCGCTGTGTGGGAATATGTGCATATATACCCACGTATAAATAGTTCAACCAGGTGCTTTGCATAAACTACAGTGCCACAGTTAGCAAAGTATAAAAACTTTGGAAAATTATTGCACCTACTCTACTAAAAATGCCAACGTGCACTGAGAGAATTACCCTGCTCCTTACATTGGAAGCATCAGTGAGGAAGAGCACCGTAACATGACGACTAATGATAAAAAGTGTCTTAAATACTCTTTCTGTTTTACAAGTTAACCAATAAACTTCTCCCTTCCTAGGAAAGGTTAAAAAAACAAAGACAGAAGCTGATTGGTGCAAAACAGCTCAAACACTTCTGATCAAAGCTCATGGTAATTTTCAAGGCTCTGTATTCCATATGGCTTATCAAACATCAACTGGTAAAATAGAAAGCACAGAAACAATTAGTCATACACGCTGCTGAGGCTCTCAGTACAAGCTGTTCTGGCTGAATCCTGTATATATATATACAAGCAGTGCTCAGACTGGATCAGTGTATGATAATACACAATAATTACTTATGGAAATAAATACAGTTTGTCCCTTGGCTTTATATTTCCACCGGCCGTTTGTACATTCACGGTTCATACAAAAATTTCCATTTTAGCTGCAATATAAAAATGATTGAATCTAGTGCAAAACATAAGAAGCCTCTGATGAAACGTTTTACACCTTTGACTGCCTCTCATCGGACCACTCTTGCTTGGTGCTCTGCAGAGCTTGTGTCTTCTTCTCATCCACTTGCACATAGTCCACTCTCTGCTCTTCAGACAGGAAAGGTTTCTTAAGTTAAAAGAGAAAAACAAATTTAGATATTAATCGTAAAAGCACTGAGACATACATGAAAGATTTCCAGGAGCTAAAAACTTTTTTGGTGCATTTTTCAACTCATGAACATCATAAACTTCTGACACCCATAAAAATACTTTCTGTTTACTGCTTAGTGGACAGGAAAACCACTTTAAAAGAGAACTAAGGCCAGACCTTTTCTGGCTTTACTTCTCTTTTGGGTCACGGCAGCACATTTAATAATATACTCCTGCGACTAAGTCAGTATATAGCAGGCTACTGTGCAGAGCTGCGTTGTAGCCAAGAGGGATCCCAACAATATTCTAGACATGTGCGATTCGTTTCGTTACGAATCGAAATTCGTACGAATTTTCCTGAAATTCGTAGATTCGTAAGCAAAGCACACAAGTCTACAATATTCACACGGCTGCGTGACTGACAGCTGGCTCATACCCCTCTAGAGCTAGACCTAGTTGTGTCAGCTCGCTCCCCTCTCTGTCCCTCCAAAGAGGGGACGGGGGTAATCCCTGCGAGGGTAGTGACTGACAGTCACCACTCTCTGCAGGGAGAAGACCATGAGCTGAGCGATCAGCGGCTACATAATCGCTCAGCATTCAATCTACAGCTGCAGTGTATAGAGTGTATTTTACTTTCTCAAAACCCTTCTTTTAGGGATAGAAATTGGCATTTTAGGGATTATAGTCTAAAAAATTGTTTTTATTTCCATACTTTGCTAAATAAAGACTTAGTTGACTGAAATGTGCATGTATATCAATATTTTACACGCATAACAAATTTGCCACAAAAATCAACTTTAAAGTCCAACTTTAGAAAAAGGTTTTGGATAAAGGCAAGAATGCAGATAAGGACATCTGACTTTTCTCTGACTTTCCTAGTATGCATACTTGTTCTGGGTCTTTATGGTGACAAAGTAGTTGACAGCTTAAACACTGTCAACAATGATTAAAAATGTTAACTAATAACTTTAACTAAGTAAAACATGACATGAGTGTTACACAAAGTGCAAAACACACATCATGTATTTAGTACATGGCTACTACCTTGATGGTCAGCAAAGAGGACCTGTCTGTATGATTGCTACTTTAAATATCTGCTTTTTACCATTTGCATGCGAACACACACACAGACATTTTAATTTAATACACAACAATGGGTTATCTAAATAGATATCTCCTTTCAGGCATGATCCCTCTCTATAAACATTGGATGGAGCCATAGAGAAGAAGGGGGAATAAGGGAAGGAGTCAATACTCTGACACATTCATTTGTGTGTAAATTTCAGCTTAAGCTATTAAGCTCAGTTCACAAATTTATGGCACAATGGGCCAAAGGAGATAAAGGTAAATGTGAAAATGAACATAAAGCTCTACCATCTGGCTCAGAAGGAGTATATATATATTATAAATAATCAATATTTCCTACAAAACCAGTATGGAGATTGCTCTGTTGTAAGGTAATTATGGTTTTTGATTCCTTTCACATTCCCTTTCACATATAGCCCTTGCTAGTTGTCTGGTTTGATCTTTCATATTATTTTATAAATGTAAATGCATTTTACCTTTTGCACAGGCGATGGAGATGCAGAATTAAAATCCAGCGCAAGATAGTCAAGGTTAAATTTCCTTGGCCAAGGGAAGCTTCCGTTACTGGGTGATATTCCTTGCCTCTGTTCCTTTTGAAAAAAGACAATTATGTTGCATTATTTTGTAAACACGTATTGTTAGGCCTCATTCACACACAACGCAAGCAAAATTGTATATTACGTCTATGTGCGTATATACGAGCGTCTATGCGCATATATACGAGCGTACATGCGTGCACTATATGCAATCCCAGAATGCATAATTCGTAATGAAATTTTTAATGTGCTGTACGCATGTACACGCGTATACACGCGTATATGCACGTAAATACGCAGAAATAAGCTGCCCGGACGCATCTCTGTTCCATTCTGTTTTTGCGCATATATACGCTACGCTAATATACGGCTCCATATGCGGCTGTGTGTATGGAGCCATTTGTTTGCATATGTTGCATATGGTACAATACACACGTACGCGCGTATAAGCGCGGCAGTGTGAATTAGGCCTTAATGTTCCTGAGAAATAAAATAGCTGATACAAAAGCAATGCAAAGCTCAGCAGCTGAATGGCTGCCTGTGTGCAGTTTTTCTGCCATACCGATACAAGTCCTTAAGCTCTTAAGCATTTGATGGGTGCTTCAAAAGGGGGGCCATCAAAAATGGACCCCCTCTCAAATCCCAGCAAGGCTCTTCCATATCACTAATGCCTAAACATGAAGTAATGTGCAACTTAAAGCAGAACTCCAGTAATTTTTCGTGTCTAGGTGCTAAAATAAAGTTATACTCACATGAAGCTCTGAGCTAGCCAGCTGTGACAGTGCTCCATCCAGCTTGTCTCTTCCTCCGCAGCAGCATTGGAATCTTCTTCATTGTCACTGATGTCTATACACTGTGTATAGACGTGATGATTTATGGGACCATAAACCACTGCAGTGGAGGGGAAGAGACGTTGGGAGGACCGGTCTAAGAACAAGTCAGCTCAGAGTTTCGGGTGAGTCTAACTTTTTTTTTTAAACCTAGACACAAACAAGCACTTTACCCTTGCAGTGAGGGGGTAGCCCCACTGTAAGGGTTAACAAAATATTTCCAGGAGTTCTTTAAAAGGTAACAGCAATTACTAATACATAAATAAGGTCAATATTAGTGACAGAGTGGGAACTTGTTAGTAGAAATCTCCCTTCAACAATTCAGCATTAGAAACCATTGGGTAGCTGGAAGATCCACAGTACACAAGCCTCCTAATTTCAAGTAAATCTCTGCTTTTCCCATGCAGGACAAAGCAAATCTCCTAAAATGTATATACTAACCTCCCTTTTACTTCCTCACAGCTCCATTCAGCCGCGGTGAGCAAAAGCAAAACCCTGTGTAATCTACATTGTGTCATTTGCTGCAAAAGTTAGCATAGGGAGGCAATTTGAATTTGACTAAGCACAGAACGTGAATATCTGTATGTCAAAGCTTGCTTTAATTAAGGGGAGACAGATGGCAAAAACTGAAGTTATAGCAACATCATTAAAATAACATTATGGAAAATTAGAAAAGTACAAAACTATAACGTTAATTTATATGGTATGCGAATACAATGAAAATCAAATGTTAAAGTGTAGAGAACATTCTTTTCACCTGTGTTATACGTCTGGTATAGCCTGGATATAACTGTGAGCTGAACATCCTAGTTCCAATCTCTGAAGTGTATTCTTCGTAAATTCTGCTGTAGGACCTGCTAGGAGTTAGTGACAATAACGATCCCTAGTGGACACACACCAACCATATATATGGAGAGTGCACCTCAGACAGGGGAACCAGGATCTTAGGCTTGTGTTTTGTTGCCCTAGACAGGGGTACCAGGATCTTAGGATTTGTTGTATTGGTATGACAGGAGATTGTGGGGGGGGGGGATTGTATGGTGGATTTTGCCTCTAGGGTTGCACAGAAAAGTAAAGAACCTGCTAGGAATTAAACCTATCTCCACTCTTCTGATATGGCTTTTAAAAAGTTGGTGGGTTCCAATTTCAATAGAAATATTATAGGGACGTTCAGATACCAAGTACCATACTTGGTACAAGTACAAGTACAGATACTTTTCCAGCTCCAAGACTAGACTAGAGGAAAATTAAAAAGTCAGGAAGCAGCTGTCATTTTTAAGGAGCATACGGGGCTCCTGGGATTTGTGCACCCGTGTTAATGTATGATTTTGTTTTTCTAAATATATATTAGGGATGCACTGATACCATTTTTTCAAGTACAAGTACTGATACTTGTCCAAGTACTCACAGATACAAGTACTTATACATTTTTGTTTATTGTCATATGAAAGTTTATCTAAAACGATACAGACTAATGATTTCAGGACAGTGGTGGAGCACCGGAGCCAGGTCCCAGCTGCAACCGTTGCAACCATGGTAGTTCTCATGGAAATGCCAAGTATCGGCACTGATATCTGAACATCCCTAAAATATTATATAAAGAAATGTCTCTCTTTTGGATTTAGTAGGACAGTTTTTGATTTTTCCATTCTCACAGACTTGTGAACCTAATTTTTTTAGCCACCTACTTCAACAGTGAGAATATGCTTACAACTGTATATGACTAGCATTAGTGAGTTCTTCCTGGACAAACTGGAGGTACATTACAATATGTCTATGTGCGCTCTTGAGTAGATTCTTCAAGGGAATTATTCAATGCTGAGGGAATTATGCAATGCTGAGCTTGGCCTGTAATGCTGGCTACGCACATTACAAACTGGTTGTTCAACTTTCTAAACATCTACCAACAACTATGTAGTAGAAATGCCTGCCTGGTTGGATACATACTAATGAAATGTTTAGGTAAGCCTCCATATTACATAGTTATTCTCCAAAGTAGATTATCAAGAAATTCTACATTTCAATTCGTCACATGTACACTATGACTAGCTTTAGAACCCCTAATATGGCTCAATAAAGGAGGGGGTAAAAGCATACCATACATCAGGGCTCAAAATTTCCACTCGCCCGCTCGCAATTGGCGAGTGAAAATTGCGTGGGGGCGAGTGGAAATCCAGGGGGGGGACTTCCGCCGCTTCGGCAGCGCCGATCGCTGTCTGTTTCCTCCACCCGCTTCTTGGAGAGGCACCGCAGCCTCCGACGGCCGGGCCGCTTCTCCCTCGGCCCTGGCCACGCCTCCTCGTACACCCGGCAGCTC